TCCCCTGTGAACTTCAAGAATTCACTGTTGAGTATCCGGGCATAGAGGTTTTCATAGCCCAGGTTCCTTGGTAAGATTGAGTCGGAGGTTTTCAAAGCAGTGTATCTGTTGATGCTCAGTACAACGTATTGGTTACAGCATCTGTATTTGATGTTTTCAAAAGCAGTGTTGAAGTAGATGCATTTTTTTTTAGGAAGCAGAAAGAACTCTTGTTCTAAGGCCTGTTTGAAGAGTCACACTGTATAGCGGGTAAGTGAATAGTGCTTAGGAATGTCTCTGTTCTTTCTGGTTTGATGCACTAGTAGGCTTACGCTAGCCTCAGGCTTTTTGGCTTGTGTCTGCTCAAGTATTTCTTTTGGTTTATGTCCGTTCCTTCAGTACAAGACATGACACACTCCTAGTACTGGTTGTGCATTCTTGTTTCAGGAAAAATCCTTTGCTTACAAATCAAATAGCCATTTAAACTGCTGTTTTTCAGCAGAACTACTAGTGAGTAATTAAAAGAATAAATTTCAGTCTAGGTTTTAATCACTTTCAAGAGACTCGTGTTGGTAAAACAATGCTTTAAAGTACCGTACCTTTTCTTCTGTAGGAAGTAAATCCAAAAAAAGCCACTTCCAGGCTCTGGAAAAGATGACTGAGGGGAAAGCAGCGTGATGAAGGCAAGGAGGAAGCTTTGGATAAGTTCTGTAGTTCTACAGTGCAGCATTTTGAAAGATTTATTTCTCAATTTTTTTTTTTTACCTTAAATATTCTTTCCCATTTTTGAAGGCTGCTTTAAAAGACATCTTGATTTTCACGTACCCTGTTCAAAGAAAATACTTCGTGCTATACTTGTTCATGAAGGGCGGGATTTCGTTGCCTGTGCACAGGCATTTTATGCCTTGCAATATCCCCCTGGCCTTTAGCTGCCACTCCACGAAGACACTGGCCTCCCATAAATACTGTGTCATGTTGTCAGCCTTGTGGGCCATGCTAAGTCACCAGCAATGTCAGTAGAAGCCTGTGTGCAGGCAACTGGGTCCTGGGTCACAAAGTGTCATTTTCTAGTATTTGAACATGATTCATAAATTGGGAAAAAAACCCACAGAACTTTGTATGTATGATCTTCTCTGTTGTAACAGACAAAACCGGTCCAAGTTTCATTTCAAGTTGATTACTTTATTTCAATAATGAATATTTTTAAAAGCTGTGTTCCTATAAGAACAACACGTATTCAAATTAAATCAACTATTACGTTGTAGAGTATACATCTGAATGAAGCTACAATAGAAAAATACACATAGCAACCAATGTAGGTAATAGGAGATGTAATACGTGTGTGTATGCTTAATAATTTTGGTGGTTTTGTTTTCTTTAGTCTCTATGTATTTTCTATCCTCTCATCTTTCCTTGCTTCATATTAACGGACGTTGATTTAAACCTACAATAGATCTAGATGTGAAATGCAATTAACGTACATATTTATAGGTAACTTTTACTGGGCACTTATTAGGAATGCGGTTTCAACCTGGGAAGCATTAACTGTAGTCTACAATGCATAGGCTAAAACTAAAAAAATAAAATAATTAATCAGACACTTAGATGACGGCTTGAAGAAATGGTAAGTTTAAGTAATAAAACAGTGCAATTCAGAAGAGCCTTTTATTTCCCTAAGTGTGGTTGGAAATACCATTGCCACACATTCATTTTAGTAATTTGTGAACAATTAATATCTAAATCTAACTCCGCTATGATTTATTTCTATAAGGCAACTACAGTACAACAGTTAAATGTTCACAGTAGTTTACTATGAGTTTGCTTTGGTGCACTGCCCTTAATAGGCATCCAGATGTTACTCAGGCAAAAGATGAGCCTATCAAATGTAACACTGCTGCAATACCAAGAGAAAGATTTGAAATTCTAACGCGAGATGTGCAGGACTACCTGAGATACCAGTACTGAAGGGCTCTCTTTCAGAAATTAGACTTATTTGTTTATATATTTATTTACTTATTTATTGTACTGCAAAGTTAACGCTGTTGCAGCAGAGTTTGTGTGAAGCACCGGTGACGTCCAGTGGTCACTTGTGCAATCTTAGATGTTTCTTCTCTGGGAATATCCCTTGTTTCTTAACATTAGTCTAACTCAAATTTGAAATCCTCTTTCTCTCCCTCAACTGCTCTTAATTCTAAAGGTTTGGATGCGATGAGCAATTTGTGGTATGGCAAGAAGTTCCTTGTTACTATTGCTCTGCATCGTATTGATTCTACAACATCTGCCCCCTCCCACACTTCACATACCTTGAACTCCCAATGTTTGGTAAACCTTTCCATGACTGCCTAATCCTGTTATGAAAATAAATTATTCTGTGAGTGAGAGAAGGAAGATTAAAACAAAACAAAAAAAACAAATCAAAAAAAGTATTTGGATAAACAGTCCTTACAACTTCTGCACATGGTGGATTTTTTTTTTTAACAGCAGTGTCTCAGAAATTCATTAACAGCAGTGCTCAGTATCCAAGACATTAGCTCTTTATTTGCAATTCTGATGTTCACTAAAACGAAACCAGAAGACTTGAGCTCGGATTAGGTGCTTGGGAGAAATAATGAAATCCAGCATACAGTTAGGGCATCCTGAAGAAGAATGAGTAAAGTCAGAGATCTTGTTACTTCACATAAAATAAGGAAAACATCTAGTAAAGCTACTTTTTGTGTTCCTTTCATTCAACTGTTGGTCAGGGATTGCCAATAGAAGTTTGTATAATCTACTGCATGCAGAACCTAATTGGCATTAAGTAATGGATTGCATCTATCTAGGTAATTGTTGCAGTTGTTATTAATTTTAAGGCAGTTACATTATGAAGCAGAGTACATGATCCTTGGATGGCATCTTAGAGCTTCAACGCCTAGCAACTGGTGAACCAGACCGCGATCCAGGTCGGGACCCAGAGCCTCCCTGTGGAGGGAAGAAGAGTTAAGTTAATTAAAAGGTACTGTACATTTGGGGCTATGAATTGAAAAACATCAATCTGTAGTACAACAAAATACTAAATATTATCTAATGAAAATGGCTTGCAGTGGCCTCTAGTATATTGCTGAATATGATTGGATTTTTCACTTCAAAGAGATGATTGCTTTTCATATGTTTTCACATAGGATTAATTTACTCTCATTAAATCTCTCATACAGGGCTAGGCAGTCTCTCATGAATTATTTGTAGGTGCGCGTTCTTATTCAGGCCTTCCTAATGAAAGCAATTTATTTACTTGGACATCTTGGAAATTTTCATTTTTATGGCTGCCCCTGAACTGTTTGTATACTTAAAAAAACCCCCAACAAAACAAAAAAACCACACCAAAACCAAAAACTGCAAACCTTGCATACAAGTTGTAATAGTCTCACATCTGAAAGAATTGAAATGTAATAATTTTATTCTGTAATGTTTATTAGAGTAAATTGTTAATGTGATTGTAACAACCTCAGTCTTGTATGGAAGGCTCAGATGCAAATACGGGAAAAAACTAAGAAAAGATAAAGGGCTGAAACCTGGCCTATTTTTAGAAATAATAAGAAAACATCAAACTAGGGGAACCCCCCCCAAACTTGTGACAATTCATAAATCTGCAACTGAGAAAAGCCCTACAGCAGTTTTACAGCAAAGATGATCCAAGCTGAAATTTTGGCGTTTCATTTCTGGAACTGAAGATGAGGCTAATTGGGTATCTTTTCCCGAGGCTTTAGCAACTTTCTAGGCAAACCTTAAACGATACACTTACAACCACAAATGTGAGATAGTGTGGTAATCGTTACGGTAAGCAGCTGATAACCGTTTACTTAAAAAAAAAATAAGCATGTGTGTACTTTGGGATTTTGTTTTCTGTATTTATATTCCTCTTCTCATCTTTCAGTGCTCCCTCCTTAGTCTTACTGAACTGTTTCAAGGAAAATTTAGTGTAATCCCATTAGATAATTGGCTTTTTTTTCTTCCAAAGTTATCTTAAAGAATGGATAACTTTTTTATTGTAAAAGACTGCAAAACTACATAAAGAAATCGTTATTAATGCCTCCTGCTATAAACAACGGGTCTAAATCAAATGGGCCTGAATAAAACTCTGATACGAGTTCCAAAAGTTACAATGGCTCGGAAAAGGCTATCTAAAAAGTAGAACTGGTATATGTATATCATCAGATATATATAAATCCAAGCTAAAATAGTGGTGATGGTTATGTAAAAAAGAGAATGTTAAATTTTGGGAGAGAATATTATCTGATATTTTCAGATGTTCGAAAGAAATTTTACGAATAATGTCAGTATGTCGCCGTGGTATTGTTGAGGTATCTGAACTCCACTAAAAAGCTACAAGTGCACAGCGTGAAAATTAGACTTAAAAGGTAAATGTTTGATTTTACCTGGGCCTCTGAAGAACTAATTTCTTTTCTTAAATTGCAACATAAGAATTCTTACTATCTCCTTGGAGTTTGCAAACTGTCACTTGGTGCTGCCTATGTTTTTGAAAAACAGCCCTACAGTGAAAGGTATGTACCCTAAACCATGTAAGAGAGAAAAATGTATTTTTGCTACAGGTGATGGTGCTGTTATGTCTCCTGTTGGAGAGTAAGAGTAGTAAGAGTCGGAGGTGATCAGCTCTGCTAGTGGGATCTCAAACCTTCTGTCTTGAAGTTAAGATTATTGCTGATTGCCTTCTTCATGTGCGAATAGTATACTAGTTGGTTTGTTACTTGTGAATGCTTCACTACCTTCGAGGAAAAATACAGTCTTAAAGTAGCTGCCAATGGATATGATGTGCTTTTCACATGTCTTTTTCCTGATGTAGAATGTGAAAAATCCTCACGACTTGACTTTTTTTTTCCTGTTCCGTTTTCATTTATTAGCTGTGTTGGCGGGGCTGTGCGCTGACTCGAAATGGTGAACTGAACCAGGTTAAAGATAATCTGACCAGATGTTTATTTTTCATATGACACAGTTTTCTAATTTGCTCGGCTATGTGGTGTGGCAACTCACTGTGCTGACATATTGTAGGAAGTCTCCCACCTGGGGTGGGAACAAGCAGGGGCTGTTCAGGTTGTTACTGCATCTCAACCAAATATTCGTCCAACGCTGCCCCATACTACCATTCTGCAGCTTATCAGTTCGCTTTCATTTTCACTATTCTAAATAATTGAGCAGCAGCAGCAGCAAGCTGTGTCACCTCATTCGTCTTCTGTGTTCCAAGTGATTTGTGAGTTCAGTAGGAGCACGGATCCTGGTGCAGGTCTTTGTGGGGCTTTGTGGACTTACCTTCTGTCCTGGTGGTACCTGACTGTGTATTTTACCTTTGTTTCCTATCGTGTAAGTAGTTACTAGGCCATGAGATAACCTTCTGGTTTATCCAAGCAAATCTAGTTCCTTCAGAAGCCTTAAGGAAATGTGGTTGTTTCAAACGTGGCGGGTTCTGGAGAGGTTTGGCTTCTCTCTTTCCTGGACTCAATTTTTTGTACTTATAGTAAGTTCAATTGTACTTTACCA